TATGTTAGCAACAAGAAAAAGGTCAGGGAAAGTGTGGGACCCTTAATGAATGGGGAGGCAACCTAGTGATAGATGATGTGGAAAAAGCTGAAGTACTCAATGCTTTTTTTGCCTCGATGTTCACAGACAAGGTCAGCTCCCAGACTGCTGCACTGGGCAGCACAGTATGGGGAGGAGGTGAGCAGCCCTCAGTGGTGCAAGAACAGGTTAAGGACTATTTAGAAAAGCTGGACACACACAAGTCCATGGAGCTAGGTCTAATGCATCCGAGGGTGCTGAGGGAGTTGGCTGATGTGATTGCAGAGCCATTGGCCATTAGCTTTGAAAACTCGTGGCGATCAGAGGCAGTCCCAGACAATTGGAAAAAGGCAAATATAGTCCCCATCTTTAAAAAAAGAGAAGGAGAACCCAGGGAACTACACACCAGTCAGCCGCACCTCAGTCCCCAGAAAAATCCTGGAGCAGGTCCTCAAGGAATCCATTTAGAAGCATTTGGAGGAGAGGAAGGTAATCAGGAACAGTCAACATGGATTCACCAAGGGCAAGTCATACCTGACCAACCTGATTGCCTTCTCTGATGAGATAAATGGCTCTGTGGCTATGGGGAAAGCGGTGGATGTGATATATCTTGACTTTAGCAAAGCTTTTGATATGGTCTCCCACAGTATTCTTGCCAGCAAGTTAAAAAAGCTATGGATTGGATGAGTGGACTATAAGGTGGATATAAAGCTGGCTAGATCATCGGGCTCACTGGGTAGTGATCAACGGCTCAGTGTCTAGTTGGCAGCTAGTATCTAGCGGAGTGCCCCAGGGGTCGGTCCTGGGGCCGGTTTTGTTCAACATCTTCATTAATGATCTGGATGATGGGATGGATTGCCCCCTCAGCAAGTTTGAGTATGACATTAAGCTGGGGGGTGAGGTACATACATTGGAGGGTAGGGATAGGGTCTAGAGTGACCTAGACAAATTGGAGGATTGGGCCAAAAGAAATCTGATGAGGTTCAACAAGGAGAAGTGCAGAATCCTGCACTTAGGATGGAAGAATCCCATGCACTGCTACAGGCTGGGGACTGACTGACTAAGCAGCAGTTCTGCAGAAAAGGACCTGGGGATTGCAGTGGATGAGAAGCTGGATGTGAGTCAGCAGTGTGCCCTTGTTGCCAAGAAGACTGACGGCATATTGGACTGCATTAGTAGGAGCACTGCCAGCAGATAGAGGGAAGTGATTATTTCCCTCTATTTGGTATGGGTGAGGCCACATCTAGAGTACTGCGTCCAGTTTTGGGCCCGCCACTACAGAAAGGATGTGGGCAAATTGGAGAGAGTCCATCGGAGGGCAACAAAAATTATCAGGGGGCTGGGGCACATGATTTACGAGGAGAGGCTGAGGGAACTGGGATTGTTTAGTCTGCAGAAGAGAAGAGTGAGGGGGGATTTGGTAGCAGCCTTCAACTACCTGAAAGGGGGTTCCAAAGAGGATGGATCTAGACTGTTCTCAGTGGTAGCAGATGACAGGACAAGGAGTAATGGTCTCAAGTTGCAGTGGGGGAGGTTTAGGTTGGATATTAAGAAACACTATTTCACTAGGAGGGTGATGAAACACTGGAATGCGTTACCTAGGGAGGTGGTGGAATCTCCTTCCTTTGACGTTTTTAAGGTCAGGCTTGACAAGCCCTGGCTGGGATGATTTAGTTGGTGTTGGTCCTGCTTTGAGCAGGGGGTTGGACTAGATGACCTCCTGAGGTCCCTTCCAACCCTGATATTCTATGATTCTATGAATGTGCTAAGGGCTGTTTTTCTTGCTCAAATGGTAGTGGCTTCTGCTATGAGATCCTGCAGATGCCCTATCCTGTGGTGTCTTTCACATAACCCCATTACTGTTTTTGAGAAGAACTTCCATTCCCTGTGTGATGCTGACAGACCAGGTGCCAGCTCATGGCAAGGTCCCTAGGTCCCAGCTGGACATGGACAGATGCATAGCTGGAGTCTGGCCGGCTCCCCTAAGAGTTAATAGTGCTAGGGTGGGTATTAGGATGATAGGAAGTGAGTAGTGATCAGCCTCTACCGAATGCTTGTTTAGTGCTGCCTGGGTTAATTTGACTTGCAATAGCTGTTCCATACGGTCATGTAATATCTGAGCAGGTGTATTGCGAGCCCCTGGGACCGCATGAATCAGCCACACAGAAGAGTTATTTCTTGTGACGCACTGCCAAAATTGGAGACCCTTCGATGTCACACGAGCTCTGGGTGGATCTTACAACTGGAAAATCCCTATATCTGGCTTGATAAACCAGCAACAAAAGACTCTCACTGCTGTTCTGCGCCCCACCCTGTGATGAAGAGGCGGGGAAGTGCACTCCTTCCATCAACTCAATTTGCAGCTCAGAGCATGTGGTAGGAGGGGGATTAAAACCCCCAGACAAAATGAACTAAGCATGTCTATATCTCTTGGACTATGTGTGGCGTGCGAGTGCAGGGGGACGGGAAGATGTTTCTAGGCATAAGCAAGAGATCCCCAGTTGCTTAGCCTGGATTAGCCCTGAAGATCAACTAGCCCTTGCTGATTATAGGAGCTGATATTACCTTTTGAATCCTAGGACTGTAACTCATTCATGTGTCTGTTTGCTTGCTTTAACCTAGTAAATAACTCTCTCATTTCCTGTTCCTATTTAATACATCTTCACATCGTTTACTATAGGATTGTACTATAGCTTTCCTTTTCAATAAATCTCCAGTTTGCAAGAGGTCTGGCTGGAAGCATTGTGTTTGGTGTGAGACATAATGTGCACTTGGCTAGGGGTAAGGGACCAGTCCTTTGAGATCAGGAGTAACCGGAATGTCGCTGTGATTCTTGGGGCAAAGGGCCATCTATCCCAGAGATACACTGACACCCCCTCCCAAGGGAGGGATCAACAGCCTTTCCCTACAACACACACGTATGGCCCCCATGGGGATTCCCCTGAGGAGACCACCTCCTTCCACACCAGGGAGGGACCAACAGACCCCTCCCTGATGACTCTTCTGCACCCCTCCCCCTCTGGACAAACGTGGCAAACCCCACTTTGGTCACCAGGAAAGGGGTAGGACCCCAATGTGTGACTCCCCCACCAGCCTGCCCCATGGGGGGATTCCCCCTGCTAGGCAGCAGGGAGGTGGTGCAGACCTGAGAGCTCTCCTGCCGGACCACCACCCCCAACTCTTCCACCCCCTCCTGTCCTGCTACTGGGAGAGAATCTCCTGTGCCCCCATTGGGGGGGGAGGTGACACCCCACCAGTCCCTGCCCCATTGGGGGAGGGGAATGTTCCCCCCCCACACTGTTCCCTCTTAGCCAAGCGTGATGCCTCCCCACCAGTCCCTTTCCCCTACCCTAACCTGAGGATGATCCCCCCAGCCCAAGTTCCTGCCCAACCATATGGGGGGGCTGCCCCCTATTGCCCCCCCATAACCTAGAGATGACCCCCCCAATAGCTGCAATAATGCTCCCCCCATCCCTACCCCCACAGTGCCTGGGGGGGGCAGGTGAGACGCGCTCTATAGCCCCCCCTTACAGGGATGATGTCATCGCTAGGGTGACACCTCTCCAGTCCTCTCTCCTTGTGGCCATCACTAGAGCATCTCTGCCTCTCCATCCCTCCCAGGGGGTGGCAGCCGCCTCACGGGAGCCCCCAAGGGGGCACTGGTCCCGAAGGACTCGCTGCCCAGGACACGGGAGCACAGCTTGCGTGGAGATAGCTGCAGCTGCCGGGCATGGGGCGGGGGCAGGGGTGCGGGAGGGTGTGGGGGGGGGTTGCTAGAGCCTGTGGGTGTAGCGGCTGCAGCCCCCCCCTTGCAGAAAGGGTGTTCGGCCACCAGCACGAGCCTCCTGCTGCCTGGGTCGGGCTCACTGTAGTTTGGGGGGATGGGGGGGCCTTGCCCCCCATCACTGCCTGTGCGTAAAATGTCAGCAAGAGGCTTTATCACCAAGGCTGACTCCAAAGCCAAACCCCAGCACTGCCCCTTTTGTCTGCCCAGGGGAACCAAGGAGCCACACAGCTGAAAAACCCACCACCGGGTGGGTCAAAAATTGCCATCCCGAGGCGAACATCCCCAGTGTTGGGGTGCTCCGAGCTGGCGGAGCAAGTGGGGCCCCGCGTACGGATGGGCCAGTGCTACGAATCCTGAGCTGAACGTAGGGCCGGAGCTGGGGGCGTGCATCCCCTCCCGCCTTAGCGCTTTGCGGAGCGTTAATGGGTGTGCTGGGCTAACGCTGGCTCACGGACCACGTAGCACCCAGGGGACACCCGTACGGAAGGGACTCGCCCCCAACGCTACACCTGGAGTGTATGTCAGCGCAGTGCTCGTGGGGGAGAGCCCAAGCCCGGGCTCCATCACCGTCACGCCGTTCGCTTGGCCAGGTGTAAGCCAAGTCTCACTTGTTCCCACTTCAGCTTTCGGCCCCTCTTCCCCTGACCTTGCCCTTGCTAACTACCCTTCCTGCCCAAGAGGGGCCACACCCGGTCCCTTCCAGCACGCAGTGGTGGTGCTGTTAAGGTTTTGCACCTACACGTTAGGGTGTGTGTTGCCGCACACTCGAAAAATCCATGTGGTCAGGGTGTAATGAAGCTACAGCCTAAACGGCTGTGCGTTTATCTTGCACTCTCACTTTTGTTTTTTGCCCCGCTCTTACAGTGGATAAAAAGGACGAGGAAGACACTGCTTTACACCTCGGGCCTGGTGCAGTGGGAGCATTATCTTGGCCTTCACCGTCTACAGTGCAGAATCAGATCTTCTTCCCTGATTGCATGAACTCTGGCTTGAGAGAGCCTGGGCTGCTACCCCTGCACATTACAGGGCACTGACAGCTGCAGCTGTCCAAAGAAAGCTCCAGCACTTACCCTAGCTGCTGAATGCTGCGTGTTTTAATGAACTGTAGAACTAGCTGAAAACTAGTCCTGAACGGGGTTGTACTCCTCCCCAACTCCCCTCCCTCCCAAAACAAAGGGAGAAACCAGACAAGAAATACAGAATTGGAACAAATTATCCTCACGGGCCTTCTTCGATAAATAAATGGTGCTGACAGAACCCCAATGAGTGAATATTAAAACAGCCATTTGCAATGATCCATGTTCCGACATTATTATGTACAGATCTCTCGCCAATGAACCCACGCTCTGGAAAGGAATGCGAGATTTGAAAAGGAAAAGGTGGTGGGGTGTCAGAAAGCAAATAAGCCTCTTGTGAAATGAGGAGAACACTTAGTTCCTTTCCCGTGTACCCGTCCAGCTGTCTGGCAGGACAGCACAGTGAGAAAATGATTTCTACGAATGAGCTGGGGTGCCATGATGTAGGAATTTGAGTGTCCTCCTTTGCTGTTCTCTGTCTGAGTCTGCTCCAGGGTGGGCTACAAAGTGTTCTCTCCCTTTGTTAGTCCCCTGCGTGCCCAGGACATATTTCCAAGGGCTGCTCGTCTTTAGCTGCTGCATCATCCCCGCAGGGAGGCGGAGGCTGCCTGACTGCGGTACGTGGCTCAGGAGCGTCACCCATGCAGCATGACTGACGTGAAGGATTAATTTTACAACAGAGCCCATGCTAGACGAACCTCATGTTCCGTGCACTGAGCGTGTTCGTGCTTAGCTGTCGCTATGCACGGCCTCGCCCCATTAGTTTCATTTGAAAATGAAACAAAAGCAGGAAAGGAAAATCGTTTTCTCTTTTTTCCTCTTATGGCAGCCTACTGAATGCAAGAAGATTAGGCAACACTGTTCTATGCTGAGGCCTCAATCTCACCCTTCAGCAAACGCGTCCTACTGTCCAAAGAAAAACTTCCCCTTTGAGGGCTCGCTCCTCTAAGAACCAGTGGCTGAGTGTGCTCCTGCAGAGTTCAGTGCAGTGTGGACTAACGTATTAATGAGCAAGCCGGGGCAAACCAGGGGCGGGGGCAAAGTTCTAGGTCACCAGCAGGAGCTAGATTCTTGTAAACACAGTATTGTGTAAAACAGAGAAGAGTTGGAGGATGAAAAGATGCAGGACTGGTGCATCATAAACCATCAACACACTTTCCTGTCTTTCCAGTATCCAACACCAGCACGTGTGTCTCATGGGTGCCTTGGAAAATTGCAGTCCAAGCTGCTGTGGTTTTGTGCACTGCAGAGAGCTGCACGGGTGGTTCTTCCTCTCTCCTGAGCCTCACAAGTGGTTGTTCTTGGACAGGTAGGCGATCAGAGCCACAGCAACCCCCACATAGATGCCAGTTCCAATCGTGATTGACAGCACGGCCAAGAAGAGTGCTCGCCGGGAGCTGGAGCTTGCTTGGTGGAAGTCTCCCTTGGCCACTGCTTTGTTCGTCTGCAAGATAAACCGACAAAAACTGTATTTATCGACCCTGAAAATGAAGTGGACACACTCCTACAATACCGAGACAAATCTTACTATTCATAAATCAGCAACAGCTTCTGCGTGGAATGTAATGGAGATAGGCCCAGATTTTGCAAGATATCTGGGTGCTACTGTGGTCACATCACAGCACCTAACTAATTTAGGAGATCAAATCTCATTTTCAAAGGGGGCCTTTTTTGGCTTTCACTTTGGCCTCGCCCTTAACGAAGCAAGGCAAACCAGCCTGAATGTTTTCATTTCCGTATCGCTGTTTAGCCCAACCACCAGAATGTATTTATTACTGGCAAATGATTACCATAAATGATTACCATAATTAGTGGATAAAACAGAAAGAAGGTTACCCGCCCCCCATCTCTCTTACAAGTGAGTTGTACCATTCCACAGTGAATATCCACACTGGAGACATGTAAGGTATGGGGGTAGGGGAAGGATTTGTGGGCATCAAATGGAACATTTTATGGGACTCGCCCTGAGGCCATTTCTCCATTTCCACATGCAGTGTCTGAGGGGGAGTTTAAGAGCTGGGAACCCAAAAATCTACCGAAACGTGGAAATCACAACTGGCTCCTCTCGGATGGCCTTCAAATACCCGACGCTCTTCCTGCTTCCCACGCTCGCTGCCAGCTGCCAGACAAACATTCTCGCCAACCTGGCCAAAGCTGCTGCAGACAGTCACTCCACATGGTTTGGGGACAAGAGCCAGAGCCATGCTGCTGAGGGGCAGCAGGTTTGCAGCTAGAGGCTTTGGGTGTTCCCACTAACCACCAAGGTTACTGCTCCTACGCTTAGGTGCTTTGCGGAACTGGGGCCATTTATACATTCAGGGGCATATGGGTGCTTCTCCCTTGGTTTGGCTGCACAAAGCTGTATTTAGAACTTGATCCCCACCCCCAGGGACTTACAGGATGAACCTCACCTTGATCCCCACCCTGACAGTGGCGGGGAAGGCATGGAGTATGCTCGGACGTCTCGTTCCCTAGCTGACTCAATGGCTCATACACACAGTCCAAAGCTGGCTGAAGCTGATGGGAACCATCCCACTGAAACCAGTCCGTTGAATTCTTCCCCTGTCTGCCCTAGAAAGCTACATGACAAGGATGCTGGATGGGAAACTGCAAGGTTGAAAAGCTCTCCTTTGGTTACTGCAATTCCATTTGCTAACAATGAAAACCAATGTCTCAAACAGCATCCTTTCCCTGTTTGGAGTACTACCCATGTCCACCCCATGCCAGTGACACACGTAGGCCAAGATCCTCAAAGCCATGGGAGTAGACTCCTAGAGACCTGTGATGATGTGGGACTTTGCCTCATTGACCGCAGTGGCATTACTTGTGTGCTTAACATTACACATGTGCTTAAGCGCTTTGCTGGGTTGTGACCCCAGTCAACCATTAGTTTGTATTTTAAAATTACCTTACTCCTGGGAACCCTGGATATGAAATGGTGCCATGCATGGGCTGTCCTCACATGCAGAATGTTAACAGTATATTTATTAGTAGAATTCAATTTTGATTTAAAAAAAATTTTGACAGACAATATCAATGGTTATTTTTAAGCATTTTTTTCTATTTTTATCTATTTAAATGTTCACAGTTGTGGGAAATTACTTGGGGGCGGGGGAGACAATTATTTAATGACAGGAGATGCTGAGAGTCAAAAAGTGAAAGCTTTATAACTGTTAAAACACAAATTGTCATCATCACGAGTCAAAATATACAAAGTAAATCTCCTTAAATCAAACTCTAATACATTCACAAACAGCATTTTGCTTACTGTGCCTGTCTGTACATTTCAATGATTAGCGATGGAAATATTTTTTGGTCGGTGTTTGGTGAAATTAACATTTACCAATAAAAATCAAATCCTTCCAAGTCTAGTGATGGTCAAACTATTATTTATCCTGCCCTACCACTTAAGAGCAGCGTAAAGAATGAGACGCTAGACACTGTGCAACCATGGAACAAAAAACCCCAGTCCCTGATCCAGGTCAGTAAATAGTTAGAAAAGGAATAATATCACAGGGCTGATTCATAACAATAGCTACCATTTATCTAGTGCTTTTCGTCAATGGATCTCAAAGGCTTTACAAATGAGGTCAGTGTCGTTATCCCCATTACGCAGATGGGGAAACTAAGGCACAGCGCAGTGAGGTGACTCATCAGACCAGTGGCAGAGCTGGGAATAGAACCCAGGTCTCCAGAGGCCCAACACTGTATTCTATCCACTAGGCCACCCAGCCTCCCAAATGGCTTCTGTCACTCTGTGGGCTTCATATGGTCACTGGCAGACTTACTCTTGTCAGTTAACTACAATATATCAGTGGGTGGGGGGAAGGGGCATCATGAATGCTTTCATTATATTTCTTGGTGCACAGTCAGTCTGGTTTTGTCAATCCTCTGCCCATCTTTAGCTTTCGAACCGGTTCCCGCTATGCTGGTATTTGTCTTTTTACCATCTTGCTCCCCAAAGCAATTTCGAGCAGCCGAATGACAATCCCGGAAGCCAGAAAGGCTGCTGGCCATTACGTAGTGACTCTATTAGGAGAACTGTCTCTTCTGATTTATCAGCCTAATTCTTCTTGAGCATAATGGCTTATGAAAGCGAAAACAACCCTAAACAATACGTTAGCAGGAATCGGGGTGGGCCGGCGGTGGAGGAGGATAATTCTTGGGAAAGAGTGACAAATAAACAGCGGCCATGATGAGATTAACCCCTCCTCCGCTGCCACTCAGGAGAAGCTGCTGCTGACTTCCTGAGCAGCACACGGTATTTCCCCAGCTCTGGGAATCTGGCTGAACACACAGGCCAAAAGTTTCCAAAGCGACGAGTGATTTCAGGGGTCTCCCGTTAGCCCAGCATGGGCTACGGCCAAACAGGCCTGCCTGAAAGGCAGGGCCTGTTGAAGGGTCTCAGGTTCACTACACGAATGTACTAGTCACTCTTAAGGCTTAGCCATAGGACCTGATCCCGAGCTCAGATCCCCAAAGGTATTCAGGTGCGTAACCTAAACTTAAACCAATGTGAGTTAGGTGCCTAAATACCTTTGAGGATATGGACCTGGGAGTCTTTCCATTCAATGGAATTTGGAGCTGACCCATAGCAAGAGGAGTTTCCATTTACACGTTACACTTTATTCCTACAGAAAGCTTCAGAGATGGTCATTCCTTCCTTAGGGGACTGTGATAGCTTCAACTTCTTTTCTCTCTCCACCCCTCCACCCCCTGCATGCCCTGCCTATCTGCAGCAGTCTTAACAAATGGCCTGATCCAAAACTCACTGAAGGGAATTAAAAAAACTCCTACTGAATTTAATGGGCTCTGGCTCCGGTCCATACTCCCTTGGGAAATCTGTCTGGAATGCCCCAACTGCCGTGCTCAGATCTGCCCTCGGTAGCCCTTCACACCCCACACACCCCTGTAATAATCTTTGTACAGAATATGCCTGATGATGTATCATTTGAAAACTAATAACTCGCCAATCATATCATGGTGCCATATGATAGCAATATGATATGTAAGGTTACGAATGCCCCCATAGGATGTCACTAGCACACGTTCCAGACCAGACAGCCCTGCCAAGGCAAAAAGGTAAAACTGGTCTGTCCTAACCAAGTAGTGTGGGTTTACCTCAATTTATATACAAGCAGTAAACAGGGCCATCAAGCTATCAAGGGGAGGAGATTGCAGGAGAAAGAACAATTTGCATTTAGCAAGCAGGGGATGGGGCACGGAGGAGGGAACATCAGGGAGCTTCCTTCACTGCCAGACTCCACCTCACCTTCCTCACAGCTTGAATAAAACTTTACTGTGAGGGGGAACCTTCGGAAGAATCCATTTCAAAGGTTCACTGGACTATAAAAGAACGGGACAAAGAACCCCAAGTTCTCTCTTTCAGTGAGAACAACAAAGGGACCAGCACTTTGGGCTTCTGGAGGAGATCCTGACCAAGGGGACGGGGATGACATCCATCTTGCTGGAAAACTCTGGGTGAGAAAAGCCATCTTGAAGAAAGACTTCTCTTGCTAGGGTAAGCTCAGGCACTAGAAAGCATAGGCAGAGCGCGTTATTTTCTTGTCCACACTGTCCTCGGTTTACAGCTCTCCACTGTCACCTTTTAATTTCCGGATGATTTTGGTGTTCAGTTAAAAATAATGATTGCATCATATGGCAGGGTGAGCAGACAAGATCTGAACTCACACTTGGCATGATCGTTGCTCGAATCACATTGCCTGCAGCTTCACGAGTGATCGTTCGCTTTCAAGCAGGTCACTTTTCAACTCACAGGGAAATTCTTTTGCCCTGTACACCTCAACTTCAGTCTCTCTTTCTCTGTAGGTGACGTATGTTCCCTTTATCAGGCAGTCATTCATATACTGTTGTGTTCCCTCTTTGTGCTGGATCCTGTTAGAAACTGCCATACCAGATCAGAGATGTTGGAAAGGGTTCAGAAGAGAGCTAGGAGAATGACCTGAGGTCCGCGAAAACTGCCGTATAGCAAGAGACTAAAAGAGCTCATCTATTTCACTTATCCAAGAAAAGGCAAAGAGGTGATTTGACCAAGTACCTACATGGGGCAGAGATGACCAATAGTTGATGGCTCTTTAATCTAGCAGAAAAAGGCATAGCGAGATCCTGTGGCTGGAAGCCGAAGCCAGACAAATTCAGATTAGAAATGACGCATTTTTAATAGTCCGGTAATTAACCATTGGAACAAGTTACCTGGGATGTGGAGGATTCTCCACCAGTGGGCATGGTTTAATGAAGATGGGGTATCTTTCTCAAAGATAAGCTCCAGCTCAAACAGAAGTTATGGGCCTGGTGCAGGAATGACTAGGGGAGGTTCCACAGCCGCTCTTAGAAGAGCTCGCTCACGATTAGCAACATCCTCCCCCTCTCCTTTTTAAAACTTAACAACAACAGCTCCCCAGCTCCAAACTCTCACTGTATACA